CCACCGCCGCATTCATCTCACCCGATCCCGCCCCCGCCGCAGCCGGCCATGCCGCCGCACGCACGACGCCCCGCGCCGCCGTCCCCGGCGGGCCACGTCTTCCCGCAGGCGGCGTCCACGGTGCTGCCCGACCCGGCCCGCTTCTTCGCGCCGGGCCTGCTCTCCGCGCCGCTCCCCACCAACTGCTTCTTCCAGAACTTCACGCTCAAGAACGGCGACCAGCCCGAGTACATCCACCCCTACTCCGTCCGCTCCGCCGCGGCCGGGCTCACCGTCTGCTACCCGACGCGCAGCCACTCCCCGACCTTTGACATCCAGACCTTCGCTGCCGACCTCACCGTCTCGTCCCCGTCCGACGCCGCCGCCGCCGGGCAGCCGCACCGCGTCGTCGCCTTCGACGACCTCTCCGTCACCCTCGACTTCTCCCCGTCGCTCCGCGCCTTCCTCGTCCGCGGCTGCCCCTTCGTCACCGTCGCCACCGCCGAGGCCGCGGGACCCGTCGACGTCTCCGTCGCCTCCGTCCACGCCTTCCTCGAGGCCGCGCCCTGCGACGACGCGCGCACCAAGTGGCGCCTCCGGATGAACAGCGGCCAGACCTTCCTCCTCTACGCCTCCGCGCCGATCAGCCTATCGCAGTCCAGCGTCACGCAGCTCGCGGCGCCGGGGTTCTCCGGCGTCATCCGGATCGCCTACCTGCCGGACGCGGCCATGGAGGCGGTCCTCGACCAGTACAGCCGCTGCTACCCGACGGCCGGGGAGGCCGCGCTGAACAGGCCCTTCTGCATCGACTACACATGGCGCAAGCAGGGGTGGGGGGATCTGCTCATGCTCGCCAACCCGCTCCACCTCCGGCTGCTCTCCGACGACTGCTCCGTTCGGGTGCTCGACGACTTCAAGTACCGGAGCATCGAGGGGGACCTGGTCGGCGTCGTCGGCGACTCCTGGGTTCTGAAGACCGACCCCTTGTCCCCAACATGGCATTCCACCCGGGGCGTCAACGACGACGGGGTTGACGAGGTCGTGGCCGCGCTGCGCAAGGACGTTGACAGCCTTGCTTCCAGCCCCATCACCACCACTTCCTCCTACTTCTACGGGAAGGCCATTGCCAGGGCGGCGAGACTGGCGTTGATCGCCGAGGAGGTCGGGTGCCCCGACGTCATCCCCGCCGTGCATCGGTTCTTGAAGGCCACCGTCACGCCGTGGCTGGACGGCAGCTTCCAGGGGAATGGCTTCCTGTATGATCCCAAATGGGGCGGCCTTGTCACCAAGCAGGGGCTGCAGGACTCCGGCGCAGACTTTGGCTTCGGGATCTACAACGATCACCACTACCATTTGGGCTACTTCCTGTATGCCATTGCTGTGCTTGCCAAGATCGATCCATCCTGGGGAAGGAAGTTCATGTCCCAGGCCTACTCCATGGTTGCCGATTTCATGACATTGTCCCGCAAGTGCGGTGCGAGCTACACCAGGCTGAGGACTTTCGATCTCTGGAAGCTGCATTCCTGGGCTGGAGGACTGACGGAGTTCGGTGATGGGCGCAACCAGGAGAGCACGAGCGAGGCTGTTAACGCTTACTACTCTGCTGCGCTCCTTGGACTGAGCTATGGTGACACACACCTCGTCTCTGTCGGCGCGACGCTTACAGCGTTTGAGATGCTGGCGGCGCAGACATGGTGGCATGTCCGGGAAGGAGAAGGGATCTACGAGGATGACTTCAGCAGCAACAACCGCGTCGTCGGCGTCCTGTGGGCAAACAAGAGGGACAGTGGGCTCTGGTTCGCGCCACCGGAGTGGAAGGAATGCAGGCTGGGGATCCAGCTTCTGCCGCTCCTGCCGATCAGCGAGGCCCTCTTCCCGGACGTTGGGTTCGTCAAGGACCTGGTGAGCTGGACCACGCCGGCCTTGGCGAGGGACGGTGTCGGAGAAGGGTGGAAGGGCTTCGTGTACGCGCTGGAGGGGGTCTACGACAAGGAGTCGGCATTGGCCAAGACCAGGGCACTGGCATCACACGACGACGGTAACACACTGACAAACCTTCTGTGGTGGCTCCATAGCCGCGGCAATGTCGACAACACAGTTGTCGGATCCGGCAGGTGCTGCTGGTACCGCCAGTACGGCCATTGATGGCGCTGAGTACAAGTTTCTGGGGAGGTGGAATGCTCTGCAGGTATGTCATGTGTACCTGCAAGTGAAAATGCCCGGGTCTCAGATTGTGAGTTTTGCTGGTTCGGTGTAAGATACAGAGTGGTTGTTCATTGTACTTTAAACATCAGTACATCACGAATTCACAATGTTATAGTGCTCTTCTTATTTGAATAAATCAAGTTGGTGTCACAGTCAATTCATCCGGAGGTTACATTGTGTTCAAAAGTTCCAGTTTACTACTGCTGTGTTCAATCTATGCTTACCCTGTCGATACCCGGTGTTGCATTTCTGGGTATAATAGAATGATTCCACATCAGACAACCGGGATATAACGTATAATTGTTCAACAGAACACAACACGTTGTTGTTTTGTTGGTCATATTATGCAACCGATAAACAAAGGAAGCCACTGCTGATATGTTCTGACTTTAGCTGAATACTCTTCCAAACGAAAAGTGAATCGGGAAGGCCTCATCTTGTGTAAGATGTGTAGCTTAAAATCCACAATTAGGTAGGAGCTATTAGTATCACAATTGCTGGTTGCAGAAGATAAAAATTCACCAGCTTGAAAGAGTAGTTGGATGAACGCCACTTCAGCTCCGTTGATCAGCAAAACCCCATGCCTTTTGCTCCGTTGCAACGCGGGCATAAATATATTCTCGTGGTGCAGCATCAATAATGTCCGACAATCTAGAATAGGTTACATTCACCGTATTCTAGATTTTGATAAGATTTAATTTGATTTGAGTATGGGTAGGGGAAGGCAAGGAAAATTTTGATTTAATTGGGGGTTTTGGTAAGATTTGATTTGATTTGATTTGGATATGGGTAGGGAAAGACAAGGAAATTTCTAATTGTGTTGAGATTTTGGTAAGTATTGATTTTATTTGATTTGATTGAGTTAATGCATGGCGTGGTTCTGGAAAGTACCGATTTTGTTTTGATTATTTCAAGTAACTCCATTTACGTTGGTTTTATTTTGTGGGGCATCTGTTGAGATTACAAAAACCCCCGAAAGAAAACCAAAGTGGAGGGGGAGGCCAGAGCCCAGAGGTGTGGGAAGGAAAAAACCGAGGGAGGAGGTGGAGGTGACGCTACCTACTCCCCTTTAGGCGCCGCTTGGTATGGGTGTAAATTTATACACCCGGAATTAATCTACAGGTGTATATTACCGGCCGCCCTTGATTTTCGGCTGGAAAATGAAACGACGCCCTGAGGTCCGTATCTTTTACCAGTGTATTTAGTAGCGAACCGACAATCCAAGCGGGGCCTTAATAGTACTCCCTCTGTGCAACTTACACTTATTTTGGGATGGAGAGAGTAGAAAATAGTAAAGATGGTGCAGATATCCAGAAATCAAGCTTGCGAGTGCTAGAAAGAAACAAGCCCCCCCCCCTCCCAGCCCCCGCTTCGCTCCCAGGGGCGACTCGGGAGGCGAAACCCTAGCCGCCGCCCAGGCTCCCCTCCTTCCTCTCCCTCCCCTCGCCGTCGCCGGAGGATGCCGGCGGGCAAAGCCCTCACCGGTGGACGACGGCGGCGGGGCCCTCGTTCGTGTGCTCGCGCGCCGCTGCTGGGCGTGCTGGAGCGGCGGGAGCGCGCGGTGGCGCGGCGGGCGGCCGTCTGCTCGCGGGGAGGTCGAGATGGCGTGGACTGCGTGCGCGGTGGCGCTGCCATGGTGGCCGCCGGCCGCTGATGCGTGCGGCAGAGTTGAGGGCGCCCAGATCTGGGCCGCGCGAGCTCGCCCAGGCCCGCGACAATCACTCTGCCCCTACCCACCCTTCTCCCTCCTCCCACCCCTCCCGTCCGCCGCCTGCGGTTGCCGCTGGGTTAGCAAGCACGCGCGCGGCGACCCTGACGGTTGCTGCTCCGCTGAGCCCCGGCGGATCCTGGCGGCGGAGGCTGCGGGCCAGCGCGGCGGCGGCGCGGTGCAAGTGGCTGCTGCCGCTTGCTGGACGCGCTCCCGGCGGTGGCCGGCCTGCTGGAGCTGCGCTGGTCGGTGCCCACTCCTGCGACGACAACGTTTCTAGGCTTCCCCCATGTGTGTTGGTCTTCTCCGACGATTCTTCGCCATGCCCGGTCTGCCAATGCATATGAGGTCTTCGTTCTTGGGTCGGGGCGAAATCCCCGCGCGGCGACGGCCTGCGCTGTCAACGGCGACGCCTGAGGGTGCCGTCACCTCCTTGGAGGCGTTGGCATGACCCTGACCGGACCTCCTCCTCAAGCACCGGGAGAAATCCTAGGTCCGGCCTCCCGGACCGGGCAGCGGCGGCGTCTCAACGCCGTTCCCCTCTTGATGGCGCTGCTTTGGCTGCAAGTGGAGTACTTGATGCGGCAGATGGTGGTTGGTGATGCATCGATCTGGCGTAGACTGCTACACAAGGAGCAGGTCGCAACGTTTGCCTGCGCCAGCGATCCCCAATGGATGCTACACCAGTTCCAATCAGGCCCTGCCTTTCACCCGCCGACTCTCTAGGCACATGGGTGCGAGGTACGTCGGCCTGGGCAGTCCTGAAGCTGCATTCGTCCCTGGAAGTGTCTGGCAATGGCAGTGATGCTGCCCTGTTGCTCCGAGTCTCGGTGCTTCGCCATTTTGGCTGGAGGCAAGGCTGGCGAGGCCTAATGTCGTTGCGTGCCTGTAGTTGTGGGCACCTCCTCACCTAGCTGTAGTCACTTGGTGAGGACGGTCGTGTGTGTGTGTGCGTGTGTGTGTCCCTCCTTTCTGGAGGTTGTACCCCCGATGTCTTCCTGTTCAATGCAATGAAACGCAACTCTTTTGCGTTTTCTCGAAAAAAAAATAGTAAAGATTATAAATATTCCATGGCAAAATGCTGATATCTCCCTCTACCTTCTTTCTCCATGCTTTACCTTCTCAGACATCTTTCATTGCTGCCGCTACCATGTTCTGACCATGCGCAAAGTTTCGAATTATGAGAGATGATAAATGTCATGAAACAAATTCCAAAATTTGAACCTCATAATTTATTTTCAAAACCCAGAGTTCCTCTATTTACAATTTTAGATGCTCGGAAGTGAACTCAAAGGATCAACCTACGGATTATACAGATTGTAAGTATGTAGTGTAATTTCTTTGACTTGCCTACTTGAATTTTGAAATGTATACATTAGGCCATCGATCAGTCTTTGCAAAAGGACTGACTCGAGTTGTATGCAGATTCATGGTGCAGACAAATCTTTGCCAGGCATTGCTTGTTTCAACTTTTCATCGCCATTGTTATTGCTTCTACCCTGTTCCTGTTGTGCTTTTCTTTCCATAGTGATCATCAACTGAACTTGCTGTTGTCTTGGTCGTTTGTGCTGGACTGAAAAAGAAAACATCTCCTGACTGAAGCACGAGCATCGGAAGAAGCTGCTGTAGGTTTGACAATCTTGGAACACAGCGTGTATATATTGTTGCACACACTCGGAAGCTTTACAGGGTAGGATGATCTAGGCAGCTTTTTCCTGAACACCCTGTGAATAACCTTTCGTTGGAACAGATGTCTGGCCGCAAGAAATCTAGGTTCAGCCAAATGTTTTTTTTAGGGAACCAGAAGTGATTTCTCCCTACTGTATCTTCTGTAAATTTTCATAAAAAGGCACAGTAAGAAAGTACAAAAAAGAGCCTAAGACAGCTGAGGTAGCTGACATAAATCCTGAGAAGAAAATAAAATGAAAAGGAAGAGGCAAGAGATATGTACAATCAAAGAAGAGCCATGGCCCAAGTCTGGAAGTCTGAATCTTTCTTGCCAGTGGCTCTGTGCAGCAGTAGCTTGACCTCTTTTTTGAACTTTGCTCTGAAAGAGTAAGATTTGGCTAGATTCCTTTGAATATGAAGTCATTTCTTGTCGACCAGATAGTCCAGGAAGCAAGCACTATTACCTCCATTGCAAATTTGGAAGGTGCAGAGATGTTGTCAAAGTGTAAATCTGATCCTGAAAAGGGCCTTGAATTTGGTTCCAGTCTGGGCATAAGTATTTCTGACAAGCAACCGCAAAAGGACACTGGAAAAATGGGTGGTCCCTAGTCTCAGTAGCAAAACTTCCACAAAGCATACAAGAGTAATCAGGTAAGAAGAAAATTTTCCTATGTAACATCTCCCTTGTGTTTAATCTGTTGTTGATGAGCAACCGAATTCCACTGCCTTTGGAGAATTAGAACATTGCCGAATATCAGGGTCTTCTGTGACCTGAAACCCTTCCTTCAGCTGTTCCAGGAAAGGGAATTCCTGGAAAGCTTCCTGAGATTAAGGTAAATGGAACAGATCAGGGATCAAATCTTGCTGCATAATTTGCTGGACTGAGGAGTTTTCCTCAAGGGCAAAGGAGAATAAATGAGGCCAGGTTGCTTGCAGTGTATTCCTTTGCCATTTGTCTTTCCAAAAGAGTACTGTATTTCCATCACGAGCCTCGCAAATGGCAAGTTCCTTGAATTTGGGCAGAAGCTTAAGACAATCTCTCCACCAAAAGGAGCAATCAGCAGTTTGAGCTGGTGGAGGACCAGGTTGATAGTAAGATTCCCAAACTAACTTCACCCATGGGCTATCCTACCTATTAAGGAACTTATATATGTTTTTCATCAACAGAGCATCATTTTGAGTCTGGATGTTGGAGTAATGGCCACGGGTAACCTCACCCGAGTCCCTGAACATATCAAAACTTCGCGCCAGCTTCGGCCCACAGTGCCCCATGCTAAAACTCCGCCCTTCGGGAGCCGGCTAGCCCAACGGCCGGCCCCCTGAGGACGGCCAACCACCTACAGACGGCATCACGAGCAGCCGGCTCCAGTCAGCCGGCCTCTAGAGAGGACGGCGTCAGGAAGGCGGCCACCTAGCACCCTCAGAGTCTGCGCTCCCATCAAGAGGACGAGATGGGGCGTGGCTACAGGAAAGCCTCCAAATCTTGGGCAAGGCGTGGCCACAGTGCCCGTACAGACGGAGATCTCCGCACGACGCGACACTGTTGCCACTATCCCCTGGCGTC